TAATGTATTCGCTGCACGACTCTCATCTCCAATAGGAGGAAATTCCACGTGCAAACGGTGAGGGTTCTTAAGGGTATGAGGAGAAATATCCTGAGCTGCCTACAGAGATCTTTTAGCGAAAACGCGCCGTTACCAGGCTCAGTGGGAGACCGAATGATTTGTATGCAGGGTTCCTGGTGGAGGCGTGACGGCATCGTGTGGTTCTTAATTTGACAAATCAATGCCACAGTGGGGGGAACGCACCTCCATGGGTTGCGCGAGGAATGCCGAATCCCCTCACGGCCGTACGTCGCAGGCGCAGCACAGCTCCGCTTGACGTCGCAAGCCCAGTGCGTATCTCAGCGGTGCTTTTATGGGCCACCACAGGTGCGAGGTATTAACGGTGGAGTCTACTGTTGAGAGTTAATAGGACGAGCTAGCTTACATACATCACCGTCTCCCCCAACACTCCCTCCCCCCCCCGCTAAAATCCCATACTGGGCCCTTGCCATTCGCTTCCCCGACTCCCCCCTCCCACTCCCGGCTCCTATAACTACAACCACCCTTGGAGCTCGCTGGCATTTATGAAAGAGTGAAACCATTTGTAATGCCGTGAATTGGTTTCCAAGCTATTAGCCCAAACCTTTATCTGGTATGAGCAGACCACACACACACACACACAAAGATCTCCCATTTTAGCTTTTCGACTATCACGACAAATGCTGTTTAGCTTGCATTTATTAAAGCTGGCTCTGTACAACATGAAAAATTGGTGAGTCCAACAGCACACCCAGCCACCTTTGTTGCTCCCCAAGTTCCGAAGTCGACACACCACATCAGGCACTCTGCTAATGCTGATTCGACCTTGGAAGAGGGCCAGGACAGATTGCGAGAACTGCTCGCCATTGATGGGTGACGCCAGGAATCAAACCCAATTTGCTGGGATCATAGCAAAGTGTGAGGACTGCTACGCCCCCCACCCCCCCCCCCCCCCCCCCCCCCCCCGCATTGTGCCCCCCCACCTCCCCCGTTCCCTTACATCCTCGCAACAGCGGCTTTTGGCTCGCCATCGAACGAAGACGGTCACCGCATCGCGCGCGTTCAGAATGCGCTTCTGCGGCCGTCTGGAACGCTCTTCCTTGCTATATAAGGAAGCCACTGGAGCTGTGCCCTTTGCAATAATCTAGATTGAAAATGTATTTCTTTACAAGTGCTTTTCGTGTTTAGTTTGCTGTCCTTCCCCCTGCACCTCCAATTAGGACGGTTCGCTACTATTTTAGCCAGTCTATTATGAGAACAGATGATGCTATTAAGTGCGTAAGGCTGTATTAACGTTGGCGTAAAGGAGTGGCGTTGCCAGGATCGTGTATATGTCTGGCAGGTTCTGTTTACACGTTGTTTATTTTGACCACGTTACTGCTCCATGTTGCTGTGAGTCGACATTGGGGTAGCACAGGATGGGTTCACGGGCCAGGGATCCATACCTGCCTGGGTCACGGAGGATCACAGGGGAGTCCGCGAATAATCGCAGCAACATTTACCCAACGCATACACGCAAACTGATGTGAAAGAGCATGCGTTGATTATTGTTAATGGCTCACGGAGGCAGGTTTAGGTGAAACAAAGTCAATAACGAACCGAATATATAATTCAATTTTAGACGACGGACACTTAAATATACACCGTGATAATGTGACTGTCCTCAAACGTTTGTATTCAAATTAATGAAACAACCAATGAGCAAGAGGGCAAGGAACAACAATTGCTATTGCAGTCTGCGTTTCCTCTCTATTTATATTTAGAAATATACTGACGCCTGCCATAGGAATGTGGAATTTAAACCTGGGCCGCGAAAGGAGATGAGCAATGCTCCATTGCTAACGTGTTCACTTTTGCCTCATTTTATATATATATACGGTACATACATTGTGCACATACATAAGTTGTGTATATACACAAAAAATGCACCAGCAGATATCAGCCGCAGCAATGCGTGTGTACAGTAAACCAAATCATGCGTTCACATTCAAGTTAATCAGTAATGCAGCCTTGAAGTCTGTTCAAAGCAACGCGCTCAGCATGCATGCGCTCTCGTCGCTGTCGTGTGCAAGAAAACAATTACTTACGTAATGGGAAATAACATAAGAAGGCACCTTTGGGATTCTCTGGGCTGAGTGTTAATGTGCCCAAAGGTCACGGGGACAAAGCCACCTTCAGGATTCTTAACAGTTCAGTGTTCATGCTCAAGGCTCAGAGAACTGCATCGATATTCGTAACATTTTTGGGGATCACTTGGATACGGTTGCCCACGACCCAAGCCACCTTGAATGCTAACGATATTGTTGGGTCGCAGGAAGATAAGGAGGGCTGAGCCTTGGTGAGCTATTGGATAGGTGACCAGCAGTGCACACCAGTTGTGCAGACATGGGGCTGCATGCTGCATGATGGCCAAGGGATGGCAGTACAACGATGTGCTCAGTACGCAAGGAACCTTGAGACTCATTGAGGCTTCCCTTTGTAATCCATTGGGATTATTACGTAATGATTATTGTCAATGTCTGAGGCTCACAAAGGCACATTTAAGGTTCAGTGTTCATATCCAAAACTCACAGAGCCACACTGACCTTTGCATGATTCCCAGGTGTCATTATTGATGCCTCGGGACCACAGAGATATCCTGAGACACCTTTAGAATTATCAGCGTCCACAGTTAATGGCGGAGGCCCCGAGAGCCGGACTTCTAAAAGCGGGAACTGTAGGTGAAAGCTCGTAGAAACCAAATGTTAAATAAGGCGCCGATCGGCCTTTTGTTTGCTTTCAGCCTTTTGCCGTGCAGAAAACTCCCGGAGCGTTCCGCTTTGAACTCGAATGCTTTTGAGTCCGCTTTGAAATTCACAGAGTGAGCCACCAAGCGAAAATAACATACGGAGCCAGCACAGGCAGGGCTGGTGCAGTGACTTGTCACTGTGTCTAAATCACCGAAGGCACAGGTGCTGGTAATCCTGTACCGTTACCCAATTTTCAGAGTGTAAACAGACTATCATTATTCAGAGTGTGCTATCTTTCCAGCCATAGGGATGCAGAATTTCCATCAAGAGAGTGGGCCGATGCCCAGGGTGGGCTGATGCCCACCCTCTTGTTCAACTTGAGCAGGGAGATACTTTTGTCTTGAAAAATGGATGCGATGAGGTAATCAATTTGTGTTACTTTGAAAATACCAAACACAAGGTTATTGGGAATTTAAAAAGGGGGGGGGAATTATTGTGTTGTTAGCTTCCGTTAATGTGAGAACAGAAGTAGGCAATTAATATACAGCGTGCTACAAAGCCCGCAAGCATATTGCAGAGTGCTGTTATTTCCGAGGAAAAAAAAAATAACGCTAATTTAAATGTCGACAACATGAATCTGTCCGGCCAGGTGGCGCTGTGGTTTTGATTGCCCGGACAAAAAGCCACGAAGCTTGCGAGTTCAAATCCCAGGCGGCGGATAAACTCACCCTCGCATCCCGGTGAGCTCAACGGAGCGAGCACTAAGTTGTGGGGGTGGTGGTCATCCCTTGGCCCCTGCAAACTGCTGGCATTGCTCATTTGGGCCGGACAGACCCCCGGGGGCTGGACAACGTCGCCACTCCTCAAACCTAGCACGGCTAGCGATGGCAGTACTCTCCCGTCGCATTTTTCTCCGCCGTTATATTTCGGCCGCAAGAGCGGCGCCGTGCCGAGAGACGACGTCCACTTCGATTTGGAAATCCTGCAGACAGCAGTGCGTCAGAGTATTCTCCCATCGCACGGTGGCACAGCAAACACTCCTCAACGAATTAACGTTTTTTTTATCACAATAGGTGGTAAATGTTCAATGTGCGTTTGCAAAGGGTGTTCAGTGGAATAAAAGCCCAAATGTGTGTTGTCCTCAAAGCAGATATACACGCAGCTGTTTAGTTTAATGTATGTCCTCCCGCGTTTAAGAATTCTGATACTGAGCGGCAACATCAGTCAGAGGCCGGCCCAGGAAAATTACATCACAGTTATACTTCTGATGTCACTTCAGTTGATCTCTTTAACCACAATTGGGGCCACGCAAACAGCGTTTGTCACTCGAGCCATTGGTATTTGTTGGATGAATAAAACTCGGTGAAAAATACATGTAAATAATTGAATTTGCATTTAGTGGTGAGTGGGCTGATACGAACAGTTCACCGCACTCAGTAAACTTGTATTAATCACGGGCAGCTGAGCCTGGATTCGAACCCAAGTTCTCAACAGTGTGAGGTACGACCCAGCAAGTGCTTGCTCACGCCGCTGCTATTTTTGTTTACGATCAGAGGAAACAAGAAGATGCTCGGTGCAGTCGGCACTTTGCGTCGTTCATCATTTAGTTTTTTTTTTAATGCTTTGCTTTATGTAACCCCCCCCCCCCCCCCCCCCTCTTTTTAAATGAAAGATGTAACAATAGATTTCTCGCTCTGCTCTCCTTACCCCTTCCCTCTCTCTCTCTACCCCCTCTCTTCCTACTCCATGTCGCTCTCTGCTCATGCCACTCCACTAGAGGGAGCTCCGAAGAACCCCAATAGTGGGTACTCTTCCCCACAAGCCAGATGTCTTCGAAAGGATGGGATGCGAGTACCCACACTTTACACCACCGCACTTAACCTACGAGGCGCGGGGGGGGGGGGGGGATTTAAGGAAAAACTTTCCCCGTTGTTTCAGCTGCCGAGGGTTGAACCGGCGACCTCTGGATCGCAAGTTGCAGTGCGTTAACCGCCACTCCGCCACGGCAGCAGCATCGCCGCAGCGTTGCCACCATCGCGATCGCCGTCGTGCCCCCATCACACGCAGGTCGTCGAAACTTGGTGCCCATTGTTTCAACTCCGCGCTCTCGCCTACGCCAAGGTTGCTTTTGATCGCCGAGCGTGGCGTGGCGCCGTGGAGGAAGGGGGGCGGGAGGGGGCGGGAGGGGGGGTTTGGGTCGGAGCGCGGTGCCGGTGGTAAGTGGTGGGGGGGGGGGTGGAAGTGAGGACTCACCTCCTCCAGCAGCGCCCGGACCTGGCGCCCCACGTCGTCGAGCCGGGCGAGGTGCGCGGCGGCTTCGGCGAGGCGGTCCCTGCGCGCGAAGTCCCGCACGGCGCTCGCCACGGCGGCGACGCGCCGCTCCAGCTCCGCTCGCCGCTGCGCCAGCCCCGACACCGCCGCATCGTGCTGCTTCTGCAGCCGCAGCTCGCTGAGCGGCACAGGGCGAGAGAAAGAGAGCGAGCGAGAGAGCGAGAGAGTGGGACGGGAGAGAGAGCGCGTGTGAGTTTGAGGGCGGGGGAAGGAGACCTGCCGGCAGCCGGTTGCGCGATGGAAGAGGAGGTGGGAGGGATGGAGGGGGTGAGAGAAAAGAGGTGCGGGAGCTTGTGAGGATTTTTTTCTTTCTTTCTCGGAGACGCCTGTGGGAAGCACTGAATGGGATTCTAAAGCAGATGGGGTCGTATACACGCCAGGGAGAAGCTGCAGCCTCAGGGGCTCAGGAATGAAAGTGGCTCCTGAATGATCTCAGGCGTGCGCTAAGAAATGCCTTGGCGTTCGAGGCAGAGTGCTCTGCCTCGAACGCAATCAGAAGGTTCCAAGAACACCTCCCGATCGCGATCAACTTAGTGGTCGATAAAAATTAAGCACCACCTTGCGGTAATTCAACGGTGGATTCACTCAACGTACATATTCCCGTGGCGCACACCGTAGGAACGTGATATTTTCACCGCCTGGCATCAACACGGCTGGCTTGAGCAGGAAGCCACTCTTACTTTTCCAACAGGTAACCTCGGGCAGGTTTCACGAGGCCTGTCTTCGGAGAGAGGCGATACTCAGTCGTCTGCATTGCCTCTTGGATACGGGTGAGGCAAAGGACAGCGAATGAACTATTCACACGGTCACTTAACGCTCACGGGTAGACACGATTGCCGATTGTCAGTCTGGCTCTCGCAGCCCCTCGGTGGCTGCGAGGGTTTGGCTGAGAGCGAAGGAGACAGACAGGGTCACAGAGGAGGGAGGCTGCTTCCGAAACACGGCCACTGGGATCGCGCAGGAAGATGTGGGTTATTTTTTTTTCCACGCACGGCTCAATTATTAATCAGGGGGCACCGCACCAATTAGGGACGCGTATAGCCGACCACGAGGATATGGTCTATGCGGCGTGAAAAAAAAAAATCACTGGAAGCGAAGGGTATTTATTAATTCCCACGCACGCATGCATGATAACGGAAGATATCCCTTCGAGCCCAGAACTGCTTGTTCGTGAACGTAACGTTAGCGAGAGCCTATGAAGGGTGACACCCCGCAAGAGGCGGGTGCAACTCATTGTGCCACTCCACCATACAGGACTCATAGCTCATGAAGTCCACTTGGCCGGACAAGGTCAGAGACACAAATGTCTAATGGTGTTGGTGGAAAGCAATTAAACGTGAGCCCTTTTATAGTCGTAGGTTAGCGTAGCGACTGCCGTGTTAACGATGAACCCCACGCCAGACATGGGAAATGTGTAAAATTACAATAGCTACAATGGTGTGATCAACAACGTCTAATGGATATTTTTATGATTACAAATACACGTGTACAGATAAATACGTTCACCTCCAATCTCATTACAAGACAACCACTCTTGACTTCGCACAAAGTGGTACTTGTTGTGCGGACCCAAACACGATAAACGTCAGAGTCCATTCTTTTAGGTCCCGTCTCATAACATATTTATTTTCGCTTGCAAATCCATCTGTGTAGGGTGTTTTTTCCCCTCCCCCTCGCATATATAATGGCCGTTTCAAGTTTTTCTTCGGGCTTTTTTGTCCAGGGTTTTATTCAATTTATTCGAGAAGGGTTTGTTACGGGTTGGATTTTATAATATCTGAAGCGCTGCGAGGCCTTGCATGGATGGCGCTGTAGAAACGCAATTCTAGGCCGCTAATTGTATTTATTATTTTACCTCGCATCTCTGAATGGCAGTGGTTGTCATACAGAGAGAGACAATGGGAATGGATAGTTTCCACGATTGGCTCAGGTACCACCGCTGCACAAATATTTTACTGGAAAAATGTGGAGAATAAACACCAACATCCCAAGTGACGATGCCCTTCTCTTAACCTCCGTTTAGCACGGTTGGCTACGTACGGTTCGAAAGAAGTTGAACATACGTACATAACATGCAAGAATATATTTTGATACTGGCAAGAAAGGTCACCATGTTACACGTACATAACACCGGCCACATATTCGTGTTCGTTCAAATCAAAGCAATGCACTGCATTTTTTGGCATCAAAGTGTCTCTCCGTTGTCGCTGCTTTTACTTTAGGATTTGGGGCCCAGCAAAGCGCTGGTTCACACGTGACGCGCCTACCGCCAAGCCAGCTCTGCTCGGAGCGCGCTAACCTTGCTGCTACACAGCGGCAGTGCAGCTACTGTAAAGTTATTTAACTCCAGCACTCGCAAGGTCACTTGTTTGTTGCGGCAATTCCCGAACGCAAAGGACATTGCCCATGAGCTATCGGCATGCAGAGCAGTCGCCACGGCTGCAGCGGTGGTGCAGTGTCGGCCCTGCGCAGGTGGTGGGCACCATCGACTGTTGTGCATCAACGGGGAACCAAACGAGATTTCCTGAGAACGTATGAATACTTTTCAATGTTTCTGGTTCATCCAGAAAAAGAAAACAAATTCCAGGAGGGTCTTGTGTCGGTACGTATGGCCAATTCATTTTTTTTTTTTACGTGGGTGAAAAATGAAGAGTTCTTGAAGAAAACCCATACTTGTGGGGGGATATCTGCACGAATGGGTCATTAACCTATTTGCTGTACTGTCATTAGGAAGCCACTGGAGCTATACGCGTTTAAGTCGAGATTGAAAACTCGTTTCTCTAGTGCTGCTGTTCGTGTTTATTTCGTCGTCCATTCCCCGCACCTCTGTCCAGCAAGGTTGGCTACGTACGGTGCAAACGAAGTTCAACATACATGTGCGTACATTCCCAGCCACATCACAATCGCAGTTTGAATGCCATTGTTACTTTTCGTGGTGAGCATGGCCCCGTGGTGTCGATGGAGTGCTCTTGCCAATAGCATCTGGTAACCCAGCAGAATTCATTTAACAAACCTGACTCTGCCGATGAGACCTAAATGGTAAAAACCAGTCCAGCGTTTGCCTGCTTAGACAAAACACTGATGGATAACGCTGACCTGGAAATCCAAGAGGCCAATGGACTAAAACATATTATTATTATTTACATGCACAGACAAGGAATAGAGTTCCGCTTCATTATATATGCATTTTCAACTCCATCGTTTTGTTAATACTGCAACGCATGATGGGATCTGTGTGATCCACAAACCCTGCCGCCGTAGTGTGGGATTACAAATGCCGCGCCACCACGTCTGGCGTAAAGGAGGAATGGGAGTTGTGAATTCCCAATGACTTAGGGCCAGGATAATGCGGCACAGTGTATGGGAGCCTCCTCCCACTGAACACAGCCACAGGTCACGTGAATACAAACTTGCAGTGGCTGGGCGGCTCAGGGACTAATTCCTTTGTTAGACTACTGAGCCAACAGCACTAAAATCTCTGGAATTCCAGACGGTTCCGCGAGATAAAAAAGCACATTGGTGTGTGGCTTTTAATCGCTGTGTTCAGTTTTCCAAAGGCACTCCAACCATCTTCACAGACGGCCGCTATGGAGATGGAGCTATGAAGTTACCTCGTTTTGCAGGAGAAAGATAAACTGTTAAAACATTGCGAGACCGTGAGAGATAGCAATGGCTTGAGGAGACTTTCATTCAGCAGTTGACATATAATGGATAGTGATGGCTGGAGGAACAAGAGGCTCTGACATTTAAATATATATATTTTTTACTGGCTTAGGTGAGTTCTGGAAATGCAACCGAAATAAAGAATGTGTGTAGTTTGGTGATTACATCCTCGTGCCGTGTCTCCAACTGCTGAACAACAGTTTGTAGCTTCATTGGAAATAAATAACGTTTTGTGAAAAAGCGTGATTCTCAGTTGCCCTGCCGCCGTAGCACCGTTCGTGACTTCACTGGGATGTAACTTCCCGCATGACTCACAAAATATGTTTGGGTCAGGCCACAGAATAATCTGGCAAAATTTCTGCCACAGCCCCCATCCGCTACTTCCTCCACTCCCCGACTAATTCAATTGTCACGTGTGCAAGCGCTTAATTTGATTATTACAATTGTTTCAGCTCACTGGTAAGCTTATCATATCTGATACAGATTTATGCAGTGACTTATTCCAAGGCACTCTGCAACAATTATAAAAATTGCACATACGATGATCGTGGTTGAAATAAAGAGTGGGGTGCTTATTAAAAGTGGTGGGTGGTGTCGCTATGGTTACCGTAAGGATGACAGGTCAGGGTGGTTAAGGAGAAATTGGGGTTGGGGTCGTAATAGGGGTAGTGATAGTGGTAGTGAAATAGCTTGGGGTGGGCATAGGGATAGTGAAAGGGGTAGGGGGTTGAGGTAGGGGTTGGGGTTGGCCTGCTCAAATCTGGGGGGCCGGGTCAAGGAGTAGCAGTAGTAGGATGGGCTAGGGGAGAAGAGATGGGGGTTGTTTTTAAGGAAAAAACAGAAGCAGGTCAGTGAGGACGATTGTTTCATGTGCAGTGGGAGTTGCTCCCAGTGAAGGGGAGGAAGAAGGAGACAGGAGAGCGAGAGAGCGAGACTGGGCGCAGGGCGAGGGAGGCGCAGAGAGGGTCGGTCGAGACTGGGAGCGTAGCGGACGGGATGGGGCAGAGCAGCGAGAGATGAGAGAAGCAAGAGAAAGAACAATTCTCACGACCCGAATTTAGCAATTAGGTACGCAACATTTCCACTTGAAATCACGCCAAGCGTCATCAGGAAAACCCCAGGAGGTTGGAATATCCACGTGGCATGGGTTACACTGGTAAGGTGCTCTTCATCGAGTTCACGTTGTTTGGGTGGTGAAGCGTCCGAGTGGACATCGGGGACACGGTGCCGTCCTTCTCTCGTTGCGGAATCAGAATGTTTCATCGGAGTGGAGCAATCCGATGAGCTATGAAGCTCTTTTCCACGGGTGCCCCAGTAGTTTAAATGCGATCACTGCGCCGCACGGTGACACACAGCAGTCTGCGCGGGCCCGACGCTCAACCCGCGGCCACGCTGGAGCTTGTTCGCGTGCGTTGTTAAGGCGGGAGCGCTCCGCTAGATCACGACGCAAGGGTG